GCGTGCGTGCGTGCGTGTGCACGTACACATGCGTGCACGAGTGTGTGCGTGCGTGCGTGCGTGTGTACGTACATCGTACTAGTGTTGCCGCCTACCGTGAAGTTATGTACTATTCGCTAACTCGAGTTAAGCGTCTACACGGGGCCTTAACTCGAGTTAAGGTAACTCGAGTTAGATTAACCTCGATCGACTGGCGACTAACTCGAGTTAACGCTAACTCGAGTTACCTTAACTCGAGTTAAGCGTCGTCGTGTAGACGAGGTTCTAACTTCTAGTCACTGCAGGGTTATTTATATATTTGTATCTACCTGCATGTAGTGTGTACAACCTAGTCACGCTGCTGCAGTACAAGCTATGATTTAGCGCGCTGCTGCAAACTGTAAAATGCATGGCATTTTTCCAAATATCGGACTGCGTGCAAGTAAGACACACGAACGCACGCACGCACAAACACACTTGCACTTGGCACAGGTACTTGGAAACGTTTCAATAATAAAATGATAGTAAATAAACACTTAATGTGTCTTAATGTTTTTCTAATCTCTTTCACCTATAATAACTTCCTGTAATTTGTAAATGCCATTCAAATGCCCACTGCAACACACAATTTAACCGCACGCACGCCACTGTGCACAAACAACAGAAACAGATAGATATTTTATTCTGTAAATACTGTCTCATTGCAGCAATATACCTGGTTGTAGCAGCTTTTTATCGTTTACAGTTTTAGTGGATTCCATCAGGAAGGGCTGTGCACACAGTATTCCGACAATACGGATCAGCAGCAGAATTTGATTGACTTCCAAGAAAGCGATATGTCTGACGAAAGTGGAATTCTGGTAGCAGAAGAACGTTCTACAGCCCTGGACGTATCCATGGTCTCACTGTGCACACCCGAGGTTTTAGCTGGTAGGGAGGAGAAAGGCCCTGACACTCTGGCTGAGGTCTGCCTGGTTTTGGATCTTGAGCCCACATCCTGGGAAAACGAAGAGGTGGATGGAACGTGGGAGAAGGAGTACCACTCCTGTACGTTCGGCCCAGAAGACAGGTGGCCTATTTGACACCGGTATGTCCAAGGTTTGGATTTTATGAAAGTGAATTTATTTCTAAATTTTTATTTAATCTATTGTGTATATTACATAAACCTAATTATTAGCCGACTTACTGTTGTGGTTTGCATTTTTCACCTACAAAACCACTGTTTATACTTTGAGACAAACTATAACAAAAGATCTGACAAACGAATAAAAACAATTTTCGTTAAATAAATGTAGGCTCTCTATGGCTGTTTGGTTCTTGTGATCGCTGCTTGCAAAGCTTACTGTAAGCAATGATTACCAACCAGGCCTGTTCGATACATTGACGGACATCCCTGATGATGACCAGAAGGTGACAATGGATGTGAGCAATGACGGCATGGTTGGCCCAGCCAGCTGTCTAAATCATGACCTGCTGCAGATGGGGGAGGATGAGGACTTCTTTGAATTGTTTTCAGATCTCGACGAGGTTCTTGAGGTATATTATTAACCATAGTGCTATATATATATGCATTAACCAAGCTGTGCAGATTCTCTCACAATGTGTTGTTAGGTCTTCGAAATTAGATTAAAGAATTTACCTTCAATAATTTTTGCTCTGTTGGTGTTATTGCAGATTGTGCCGACTGTCATTTCTGTGGTATTTATTAGATGACTCGACTAGACAATTTAGGCCGATTGGCTTTTGGGTTTAAAAATGTCTCAACAACCCTGGCTTTCTACTGTTCTAATTTTCTAATTTGTGTCTTTGTCTCTTGTCTTTGCTCTAGCAGTCAGACGTGTGCGATGGAACACAACCAGAGAAAGGCAGTGACAGCAAGGCAATCGAAGTAGGCAATGCACAGATGAACAAACAAGTGGCAGCAGCTGGCCTTCCCAGTGATAATATGACAACTGACAGCAATGAAGAGGGCGCCACAGGTATTTCTTGCTTTGTTGCTGAAGATGGCTTTCGTGCCATGTTTGAAGTGGTCCGCATCAGCATGGACGATGACGAAAAAATGGTTGGTATCTCAGGAGGCAGGAAGAGGAAGTGTGTCAGTTCTCCCGCAAAGGAAGAAGACCGTTACATGGCGCGGCGGATGAAGAACAACGAGGCGTCAAAGATCTCACGCCAGAAGAGGAAAATGAGATGCACGGATATAGAGCAGAGAGCCATGACGCTGCAGGAAGACAACGACAAGTTGGAGAAGCTGGTGGAGAAGCTGGAGGCTGAGGTGAAGACACTGCGAGCCGTCATTGTACAGCGACTGGCAGGAGGTCATGTACATTGAATTACCAAATTCAGCAAATTTAATTCGCTTTTTAATCAATTTTAATTATTTTTTTCCCTAGCGCACAATGTTACTTGCACTTTCATATTAATAATTAATAATTAATGTTACTTGCGCTTTCTTATTAATATTGTACAGAAACATTTGTACATTTCCTTATTTTATGTGCCATTTTTTGTAAAATATTTTTAACACATATGTAGGTAATAATTATCATTTATAAAAATTAGAATGGTAGAAGTCCACCAACACTATACAATATGACATATATTTAGAATATGATAAGTGTGACATCCTACATATTTATCATAAAAAATTTATTTGTTCCGATCAGTAATATATGCAACGTTTACTGTGTGGTGGCTTTATCTATGTGAGACTGGATAACGAAGTTAGATTATTGCTCTGCGGTGTTTGATTGCTGTGTGATCTGGCAAGAATAACAATATAAGAGCATTAGAGCAGGGCCAATTTTCATCTAGTAAGATGCAATTGGAAAAATTACAGTATAGTTGAAATAAGTGGAGAGTTGTGTGAATCTATTTAAAGTTATTGAGTTTATTAATAGTAACATCGATTGGTTTATTGAGCTTGCGAACTCAGGACCAGTCATTTCAAGTGAGTCCTTTTTTATAAGAGTATGTAATTACTCACATAGATTTATGTTGTGTAGTCTGTCTTATCGACTTGTTTGTACCCAGAATGTATTATATTGTAATTTAAGAATTGAATATGGATACTAAAATTACTGCAACAGATTCTGATGCAGCATATTTTATTTAAATGTATGTATATATATATATATATATATTATGTAGATAATCAGTCGATAATAGATTATTGTGGGTTGTTGTTATATACCTCAGTAATACCTCAATAATATCTGCCTTGTGTATTCATTATGTATTGTCAGCGATTATGTATATACAAATTTTAAATAAAGCAATCATGTCAATTTATTTTACACTAAAACATTTTTTACTATCAACAATGCATACCTGTCTCATTAAGTGACATTCCATACCTTAATTAATCAAATTTTGTGAAGAAATGCAGAAAATTGGCAGTCAGCAAGAAACATTTAACAAGAGCAACTAGATTTATTTGAAATAAGCTAGTTTTTCGCTATTAATTAAATCCCTATAATGCTGCTAAGCACTGATACAAATTTCTTCAAACAGCAAGATGTGTCTACTGACATGCAGTCAACGTGGTGCCCCCTAGTACGATCATCGAAAAAAATGGTGCACGTAAAGGGTGAATGCATCACGTGAAATTCCCCATTTTTGCCTAATGCGATGCTAGCACACCTGGCAGCAGGATGAAGTCAACGGCATGGGCGCACCATATATGACTACATTGCAGCATCTGAAAAATATTTAGTAACAACATTTAAGGATCATTACAGGCACATTTACTTGGCTGAGGTTTAACAAACCATCACCACACTATTATGTTTTCATGAATGTGTTATCTGACATGAGATCGACTGTAATTGCAAGTTAATCAATAAAAAATGTGTAAACTTGCTGATACAGTGAAATCTCATTATGACACGATAATTAAGTTATAGTAGGATAATTAAACGTTTAAAAGACTAATTAAAACGAGAAAAGAGAAGGAAAAGAAGCAAAGCGTTGACAATGTTATATCCGAATTCATATTATTGCGGGACACGTTATAGCGGGGTTCTACCAGCAAAGCCACAGATTCAGTTAAAAAACAAGCTGTGGATGAGGTAAGTGTACTGGCAATCATTTAACATATTCTCACCTCATTGGTAAACATCTTGCTTATCACAAACAAACTGTATGATGTCTTTTGGCGTCATCAATTTCTCACCATACTCATCCGGAATTTCAAATGCTGTGAAGAAATTTCATTTTCCTTTTTATAATTCATTCATTTAATTATTGGAATTTCGTTTAATAAAAGTAAGTAGCTAATAACCATAGCTGTTTGAATCGTTTAACTGTCAGAAAAAGACCTAGGTAAAACTATGCACTAATATCAAAATTAACTATCCTGTGTTAGAACAAGAGCCGCAGAGCGTCTGGGCTCATCTGAGGTCTGTTGCTACAGTTATAAACGTAACATTTAAGTCATGCGTAGTGACATCTTTTTTAGGCGCAGATATGCAGATACGCAGTTGCGTACACATCATTTCAGCAACCTTCTGCATTCTGCATACCTCCCAAATCCCATTGGTTGATACAAATCGCGTGCCTGAAACTCCTGTTTTATGGTGCATTGTGACCCTAACCCTAACCCTAATTTAAAAAAAAATTAATTGTAAAAATTATTTGTTGTTATTAGATTGTTGTAAAGAAATCATGTAAATATTTGCATTAATTGGAAAAAAATTGTTAAATGGATAAAGATGGAAAAATACAGAAAACAGGTAAATAATAAAAAATCTCATGGGATTCGATCCAAGGACTTTGAGCCATAATCCTGTGCTGTACCCGTTGGGCTATCCAGGCATATTGGCTTTCTAGATTATGGATGTGCAATGAATATGAGAACACTGCAGCGAAAAAAATACCTGGGAGCGGCGAGCGATTTCGCTTCCGTCAGCTTTCAAATCGCTCTGGTAACAACAATTACGAGAGCGAAAATATTGAGATACGAGAAAAAATCGCTCCCGTGCCGCCGGCAGCGTTAGAAATTAGTTCTGACCCAGAGGCCCGAGCCAACCAAGTTTTTGCTTGGGCCACCATCTCTACGAAACTCCCGGTCCTCCCGACCGGCACTTTTTCCCCTCATATTACGCTGAAATACTACGGTTAGCGCAACGGCAGTTTAAACAGACTTGTAAACGGGAGCGCATAATAGGACCCGTTCCTCAACGTAGACGGGGTATCCAAAACATCTAGAGCTGCATGAACTCCCTCAACGCATGATTCGCCACACGAACAAAAACTCGCGACAGTCTAAGAAATCGATTGCGCCATGGCCGGCATGTAATGCAGCCCAGTGTTTTTATGACCGCATAACAATAAGTTTTTATTTCGCAGGGGTTATCGTGGGGAGTAAGGGCACGACCAGTGACACCTGACACGCACGTAATCAAAGCTGTTAATTGAATTCGTCACTTTTCTTAACCTAGAAAGTGGACTATTTTTATTCAGTTAGATATCTAGAAGCAATGTAAACTGTATATACTTAAAGATTCTAGGCACTTGTAACTTTGCGGATATGCGGCAGCATTGATCTATGCATGGGGGAGGAGAACAACAAATATAAAACCTTGCCCAGAAGCTCCCGGCATTCATAGAGATTCCAGTGCAAGTTTTTTTTAACATACTCAATGTAACTAAAAACTCTCTCTGAAGTTCTGAACTTGCTCAGTCAATGTAAAAAGAAAGTTGAAAAATGAAAAGAAATGAAGTAAAAAAAGAAACTAGAAAATAACCATACCATCATTTATACCATGATTATAATTCTTGATTTCTTGTCTTTGTCATGTTACCTGACTATGTGTACTGTGTAGTGCATGTCTGTCTGTGTGAATGAAATTGAATAAGAATGTGATTGGTTTCTTAGTCGAGTGAAATGAGATAAAAAAAATGTGATCGAATGCAATTTGTTGACGATTTCTTAACACTGATAGTCTGATACTGGTTCCGAGTGCGCGCTGAATGCTGATGAATGATATTAGAGTCAGTGCATCAAAATTATAAAAAATTTTAACAAAATCATGCTATGAAAAAGTAGCTCTGACCAAGCCTAAAATAGCTCCCGTAAAAAAAATTACGAGAGCTCTTTTTTCATACAAAATCAAAAAAGAGCTCTCGTAAAAAAAAGTAATTTTTAGGCTGGAACACTGTTACATCATTGAGGTAGTTCAGGAATCCATGTTTAACCCTCCTCTTGAGGGTCAAAAGGTTATCAGACACTTACTCTTCGCACGTCAGTAGAAAGCACATTTCATGGTCCTTTCAATAAAGTGATAAAAATGGTAGGTCCGCGCTGAAATTTTTTTTTTTCACTCTGTCCATTAGGCCATGTCCTCAGAAAATGTCTGATATCTGACCTTTCCCCCACTGCCCTTTGACCTGTGACCTCCAATTTCGCACTGGTGATGGGTTTCCTGCCCATCACACTATACACCGAATATTAAGAGCATAGGTCGAGCTGTTAAGATTTGTGCCGCAATTCCGTATTTCCTCCTATACCTTAAGTTAAAGGGGAAATATTCCCCCTCCGTTTACACATCTTGACCTTTGACCCGTAACCCATAAATTTGTCATCCCGAGTCCTTTTCACAATCCCCCCCCGACGTCCCGAATATCGTGACCGTACGTCGAGCTGTTAAGATTTGTGCCCAACTGTTGACGGACGCACGGACGGACGTACGAACAATCATGTGATTCTACAAGATGCATCTGACTACGTCAGATGAGCTAAAAATCATTGTTATAATCATTAGCACATTGCACATCATGAAAAAGTTAGTCAGTATAGAGATTTTACTCACAGAATTCATCTTCCATAGCCATAATGATCTCCACTTGATCTAAACTATCCAATCCTAGGTCGTTTATGAAGTGAGAATCTGTCGAAATCTAAAACAGAAAAGACAGACTTTTTATCAGAAAATAAGGAATATAATAGCAAATAGATCTATTCCACTCCGTGCGACATGGCTCACCTGGGAAAGGAAATAGGGTGGAAAGAGAGAGCGAGAAAGCGAGAGACAGAGAAAGAAAGAGAGAGGGAGAAAGAGAGAAAAAGAGAGAGAGAGAGAGAGAGAACCAAGAGAGGGAGCGATCAAGAGACCGAGAGAACATGCTAGAGATTGAGAGAGGGGGGTATAGGGGGCAAACTTGAAGTACCCCTGCAGTTGTCTGTCAACTATTGCCCAGTCTTATTGTATTTGATATGTCTTTGATTGGATATGAATTCCTTCCTTCTTCAAAATACAACACATTGTATAATACATACACAAGAACACCTGCACTTGAGGGTCAAAGAGACATTGCATGGCAACTATTCGCACATGAGTGGAAAGTTCATTTTATTGTCCTTAAGGTTATGAAAATAATAGATCACTACTGAAAAAAAGTTTCTCTCTGTCCGTCAGACCATATCTTCCAATGAAAGTGTCAATGACACTATAGCTCACCACAAAAAAAAGTACACAAATGAGCGAGTGCCAACAAGTCATTTTTAATTCAGCAACTATCCACCTACATTATATAAAACAAGAGTATATATATGGGAGAACTAAAACAACAAAATCGAATGAATCTACATAGCCATTTTCATTTTTGCCAAAAAGTGGGCGTGGGTCGAAAGTAGGTCGACTGGCGTGCTCCAAAATAGGACTCCCATAGGAGTAATATGGCGTGCTCCAATCTCTCCCATAGGAGTAAAAACTGTATGCAGTTGAAACATGTGGGTCAAACGGTTCTTAAGTTATCGTTGACCATAAGCAGACACTGAAATGCATAGTGAAATTGCCAAAATCTACCTAATTTGCATAATTAAAAAAATAATTAAAAACCTGTGTGATATGTTTTGGGGCCAGTCCTCATTCATTCACATAAAAAAAATGAGCAAAATCCATTGAACCTGAACTGACTTATGGCCATTTCCATTTTTGCCAAAAAGTGGACTTGGCTCGAATGTATGTCGACTGGCATGCTCCAAAATAGGACGTTCAAACCTCTCCCATAGGAGTAACAACTATATGCAATTTGAAACATGTGGGTCAAACGGTTCTTGAGTTATCGTTGACCGTAGCCGACGGACCGTTGACGGACGTATACCGTTGACGGACAGACGGACAGACGTACGACACCCCATGGCAATAGCTCATCTTGACGATGTCATGCAAGGCGAGCTAAAAACTTGGACGATTTGATATTATTATCCTGACATTAATTGCTTGCTATGGGCTATGGATGAGTCATGAGTGTATGTTTACATCAAACAATATAGGAAAATAAGAAGTATAATGCAGCAATTTAACCATAAAAAGTGAACATAATTACTTACATTTTGTGAAAAACTGGAAATGTTTTTTTAGTTTTACTATTTATGGTGACGTAATCACGTTAAATGTATGCCGCAATTCTGCATTTCCCCAGTGCCGCTCATATAGCGTAAGTTAATTAAGAAGAGAATATTTACCCTCCCTTCAAGCCTCACATTTTTCCTCGGATTCGAAACCCCTATGTTGTTTCAGACTACCTTCTTACGTCAGGAATATCAACCCCATACATCGAGCTGTTCAGATTTGTGTCCATATTGTTGACAAATGGACAGACAGATGAATGCTCATGCCATATTACAAAACAACCTTATATCTTTACCTTTTCTGGGTCAACTTTATCATACAGCCTCAACACAAGGAATACTCGCTCCTCTACCATTTTGTAGGTTAGAGGTGGCTTGCCACCATATAGCCGTGTGAGCGGCAGATTTAGTACCTGAAACATAAACAATACCATGATTAAACTTTGCTATGACTGTATAGGAAAAGCTCTTGCATACTTCGCTGTTATCTGTACATATCCCCTTGCCTCTAATAACTACTAGCTCACCTTTCATCATTCCTTGTTCTCAATTTACCCCTCGCCTTTATTTACCACATCTTCTCTTCTTTATATAGCAAAATTGTAGTTATGTATAGAGACAGTGACTGAGTAATTATGTATTGTATATGATGGATAATTACCTAAATAAATAAAAAAAATAAAAAAGAGCTAGTCTTGCTGCTGCCAGTGCCACTGCCACTCATAGGGTCTATGACCCCCAGGGTAATGCCGGAACGTACCCTGGTAACTATCTGATATGGTTAGGGTTAGGGTTAGGGTTACTGTTAGGGTTAGGGTTTGAGAGTAGGCTAGGCGACTCCCTAGACTCGTTAGTGGAGTAGGTGAGGTACGGTCCAGCATACTAGGGCCCACCAGGGGGCTCAGGGATAGAGAAGATGTCCAGTCCTATCTTATCAACTAACATCATCCTATCCAATCACCGTACTGGACATCATCTCTATCCTTTTTCAGGGATAGAGAAGATGTCCAGTCCTATCTTATCAACTAACATCATCCTATCCAATCACCGTACTGGACATCATCTCTATCCGTACCGGGGTACGTTCCGGTATACCAGACCGTACACAGGGTAGGTTCCGGCAGTAACCTGGCCCTGGGGGGCATAGACCCTCTCAGCGCCACTGCCAGTGCTGCTACTTCACTCTTCGATCACTCGTACTTGAACACAACTTTGATCTTAATATTATTACACGGAATGATGGTAGTACTACACGAAATTTAAACTACTCATCATGTTTAACCGGTGTGAGTCACAGTAAATTAAATAAATTTAAACACCGAAGTGAAATTGCAGAAACTCGATTTGATATTAAACTTTATATTATTATAATTTATTTATAATTTATAATTTTTAGTATTTGTACTTTATACTTATAGTTATAGTCTTATAATACACATCAAACCTTATTAGGGTATATTTGCGTCCTAAAATTAAATAAATTTAAACACCGAAGTGAAATTGCAGAAACTCGATTTGAAATTAAACTTTATATTATTAAT